CAGAGAGCACGCACCCAACAAACTTGCAACAAATGCAATTCATCTCTCCACGCAACACATACAGGGAAGGCAAACCATATAGCCAAAAAACATCATCAAGAAGAAGAGCAATACAGGAAATAAGGTAGGGACAAACAATTACTGAGAAATAAATAGTAGCTGGCTGAAACCCAAATCTCACTTCTGCCCTATGTCAGAGTGGTGTAATATCAATCATCAATTGTTTTTATGATTTTCTTCTTTCAATTCAAAAAGGAGCATACCACAAGAGCTACTAATTTTATTCGCAGCGCAATCTGTGATGCACATATCAACAACAGTGATTCCAATTTGTGCGATGTGTATCTATATTAGTATAAGTCCTCCACCCTACATGCAGACATGCTATCGACGCCTTCACAAAGATATTCGTACGAGAAAATCGTCTTCCTTAAATTGTTCTCAATAACAAGAGCATGATGAGGAGTTTCTGCTGCACTAGGAGCTTTCACCGTAATGTCTGTCATCACAGTTGGAATGAAATCAGGTCTAGAGATCAATCATATAGTTATACTAAGAAATGGTCGGTATAAACGCAGGATATGCGTGATATCGTACTATCAGTTAGCCTAATTCAAGTTACCATAAGTACAGAACAAGGTCAACCGAGCGGTGGATTTATAGCAGTGGGTGGTTATTACACTCTGTACAGAAACCAAACAGAATCTAACACTAGACTCAATGCAACAGTAAATTGTTCTTTTTTTAGGTGTTAGCGATCGTCAAACATGAATATTAAAGGGCGAGCGCGTACGAGAGAGAGGCGATGGTGGTTTCAACGCTACCTTATCTTGTGTTTAAGTACTCATAAAGTTTTTGTGATATAGCGAGACACTACTGCAGAAGAAATTACATGATAAAGACTATCTGATACACAGGAGATTGTAGTGCAACGTACTAACAGACTTACAAACATTGTAGTATCTCAGGGGCATTCTCTGAGACAAATTTCTTACAACCGACGGTCGGCTGGCATCTGAGTAATGACTGTAGGATCGGAGAGACACACATGAAAGCCACTTTGACAAACGCACCACTTATACATATAATTACAATTATGTTGCATGTATGGATAACAGTTGATAATTACTATATCGTTATGTGATAGATCAGTGAATATTGCAAGAGAACAACTTCCCGAATACGGAAGAAAGCAATCACAGGAAGATGAACCGTGCCTACGCAGAGAACAAGTAGAGACAAGGTATTTGAGAATAATGGTCTGCCGAGACGCAAGTCTTCGTGCACAACAATCTAAATATGGTGATATGCTTGTAGCATACTTTCGTAGCAGTAGCGTCAATACACGAAAGAGTGATGTTAATGTCAGTGAGAGCTTCCTCAGTTACATTAATCTTCAACAGACAGTAATCTACACAGTTCCATAATCCTAAGCCAAGCGAAAATGAACCATCATTTGAGCGCGAGAAAATAAAGCCCGCTTTAGCATACAGCATAAGATCACTTCACACTGATCATACAACAGACCACAACACATCTATACACACACTATGTATTCACAGCGAGCACGACACCTGCTACGACACACACACAACATTGTGCTCTCAAATATTTTACTTATTAATAATTAGGTTAATTAATATAATACGACACGCTCTCAATTCTAATAATCAGGGTTTATCACCTGAGCATATGTAAAGTTGCTCTAGGGTCAGATCACACGCACAGCTGTGTAAGAAATACACTTTTTTGTCCCTCGTAATATGAACAGCATGCATCTGCAGAGTATGGACGCGAGATTTGAGCGGCGGTGCCCTTGGTGACAATAGCCGATCTGCACCATGCGTCAAGTACCTGATTGCAGGTCATTGTCATATCACACTGCCCCAGAGTGTTTGCCTCACACGGGGAGAAAAGAGCAGAGCATCCATGTGTAATGTAAGACAGAAGGTTTCAGTGATTGATCATTTCAGTCCAGAGTTGCCCTCCAGGGTCAGTATCAAGTTATAGAGGAGACAGGATTTAATGTCTATATTCGAGTGCGAGACCAAATATTGCGACCAGGGGGAATGCACCATTCCTCTTATGACCAAACATCGCCAGGGAGGAGCGCAAGAAGTCACACATGTAACGACTCGCGACTCTGCTCCCTGGTCTCAAAGCGCCATGCTGACGCATGGGATTAAGTCACAAAGCCCTGAAAGTTTGGGCGAAATGAATTTGCACCTTCACAAAGGTAGAACAAAGAATAGAGTCACGTCTCGTCACGTCATGTACTAGCCAAGAACATCTAGTTGTACCCTCAGAAGGCTGTGCCAAAAATATATATACACAGAAGCCCACAATTGTTTGCTGGGCACCGAAACCAGGTACAACCAGTCAGCATGAAATATCAGACAAGCGTCTCACATATATGTCAGCTATATTCAGTATTTGGTGGATGACGGGACCATGAGAATGATCTATATGTGTCAAGACATTGTGTTCCTAGCTATAAACTAACTAATCATTCCGAACCTCCACCATTTACAGGTTCGTCGGTGCATTCTGAAATAAAAGCTGTAATACGAACCATACTAATGAAATGTCCTACGCCACTCTATTCCAATTCTTAGAAAGCAGAGAGCAGAGAGTTAGTTTTAGACGTTGAAAAACAACCACTCCATACACTGAGTAGTTTTATGTAACCGCTTATTAATTTATGAAAGCAGCAGCCAAGTCACTATATAGATATTGCGCGCCTCACAAACGGTATCAGACACGTAACAGCCAGATCTGAGACCTGTAAGAATGGTCCCCAGGAATTAGCCACATTAGTGACTAGTGGACGCTTTCGGTCCTCGTTAAATAAGGATTAACTGTGTCTCAAATCAGAGGGCTAACACAACCGTAACCAGAGTTGGTGATGTTCTCTTCAGCGAGATGTGCACGCTTGTGAGTGGGAGGCGAGAATAACGCGCTCACATGTGAAGTGTTCAGAAACGCAGTTGAGAGCAGTAGAGAACCCTGGTCAGAGTGTATCGAGCGTTAATGCTCCCGTTGCTAACCTGACCAGCTCTAAGCATCACACAATCTTGCCCTGCATCCGCTGCGTGTATGCGAGGTTTAGCTCTGCGAGAGATGAGCGCGTATCTCGAGCCTTATTAGTACAGCAAATGAAAACCTAATACCGTTCTCTACCAGGTTTGAACTCCTCGCCGCCTACACCCGGCTTAATCTCACGCTGGAGCGTGTTGGTAATATGCGTGCTTCGTTTAGTTCACCTGACTGATGAGACTTTTCTAAGCACTGCGGAGCCGGGCTTGCTATGGCTATGATTCCCGCCTCCCAACACCTAACACTATACTCCAAACCTTAACACATCGTATCTGCGATCGCACCACCAGCCTTCTCCCCCCACATATATAGGGAGGGCTGAAGTATTGAAGGAGAGGTTCAACTGATTGACAACACAAAGAGATCAGGCTGTCTAGGAGCGAGTCAAGAAACTAAGCCACACGATTTGGGGTTGAATTAGAAATATAAGAGCCCATCGAGCAGGCAAGCCTAATGTCAAAATCCAGAGGAGCTAGAATGAAGCCCGTCTCTATTCATCAGACCAGGTCTTTACCCCAGAAGTGGACTGCGTCCAATCATTCACGAAGACATTGTTTGCGGCACCACCAAAGACTACCAGCCGGAACAGAAATGATGACATGTCGGTTCACATGTCATCATTGATCAGATGGTGGGCAGGCGACTAGAGAAGATGACAGTGAAACATTGGCAGTTTTAGCAGTAACTACAGCTGCTGTGACACATATCTCGTATGATACTTACTTTATCGCTTCAGGGTCGGTCAGTGATTGCACCAGACGAACATCATTAGGAATCTTTCGACGTGAGATCGAACAATCGTACTGGGGTATATACGTTTATTTTCCAGTAGTCTAAGATGCGCATCAACGTCGCTTCCCGTCTGTACCACGGAAAGAGAAGCTGAATGTGGACGCTTAGATCTCTAAATTCACGATGTCTCTATAATAAGCTACCAATAACCGAGTTTGGCCTACTCAGCGGGTGTATCCGCATACAATTGTAAATCAAACTGTTAGAATACATGAACGAATGATATGGGGACATGTGCTTCGCCTTATGGCAGTAGGACACTTCTGAACACTCACCCAACTCTCCCAGCGCACAGAAGTTGCCGGGATACTGCCTAAGAGATGAGCTACCAGACCACGTCAGCCCACCGTAACATGGGCCTTTACTGTAGCTGATTATTACTAGTATGCCAGGAGCCCGGCTTCTATGGCCCACATCAAGTCCAGCAAGTCGCCTAAGACCATAACATATCCATACTACATTTATCACGTGTGATCAGCTACCTGTAAGCACTGAGTGAGAAGTAACCAAACGATGACAGGTATAAAGCAGGATTAATAGCACCTGCAGATGGGGAAAGGCCATGGCTAGCTACAAGTTATCGAGAGTATGACACTACCGTTAGCAAAGCGAGAACAAGAGTATAGGCAAACTTAGTAGAAGTGTAACAGGCTCGCTAGAGAAGAAAGTAATTATGAGTAGTCATTAATCCTATAACGTGTGATTACCAACGTCAGTCAGTATGTCCCGTGATCAACAGTGTACACACGATCTGTCAAAGTTGGAAAGCACAATATGGTATCAAAGCAACACAGACAGGCTGCAGTGGGATACCCCAGCATGCATGTCACTACCGGACATGATGTCCCCCAACATGCTCTACGGCCAATAGTAGCGTCCGTGTACAGACACGCTCAAAGTGCTCGTAAACAACTAGAACTCTACTCTCGAGCGGATGGAAATCTATAGATAACACTGTAGGAGGTCAATGGCACATGTCATGTGCCTATGAGTAATTTAGTACCGATTAAGATGACATACACATGAGTAATGAACATACCAGATATTAGTGTTCTAACTTGAACCTTAAAGCACTAATAGCCTGCTCTCTGCATTCCTGGTGCCACAATAATGAATGTCACACAGGAACATCCTAATCAAGCCCCACTCTGATGTCCACAGCACAACTATCCCGCTGAATTATGATGAAAGCGTTCTAATCAATAGATAACACGGTTAGGTCACGTGACGTTTGATTTCATCTGATTTCAATAAGCAACGTCTTGCGTTTTAAAATATTAAACTGGTTGCGCACAATCGCAGATGGTCAATACGATGTGAAGCTATAGAGAATTCAGTGACAGCGGCAACTAGAACGTCACAGCACAGACATAACAACAGCCGGTGGTTTCTATGTCAGAGGTTTCCCGCGCAGAAACATAACACACACTACACACACAATGCGGTCACAGATCTATTTTACCGCGTATTGTGCTAAATCATTACGGCTGAACGCATAGCTCGCGACGTAAGCGCACAGAGTGCTGAATCAGTGGACGGTATCATGTTACTCTACAAGTTAAACCAAATAGAAACATTATTTTTTAATCTTTTTCTGCTTACAGTCAGAATATTACGATCGTTGTTCCTATAAAACTGTTGATTACTGAGGGCGCCACACAGACAGAGGAGGGATTGGGGGCCGCATCGGCCCGCGGGCCGCCATTACTGCGGCCCGAGAATGGCCCGATTTGGCTCTAGCAAGAATAGGTGATCATGGTGTGGCAAATAACCAGGAGAGAACCAGTACTCGAGCACTTAAAATCACAGGGCATATTAATGGATATTGGATTTACACTGTAAAGGAAGTTCATGCAAACATACGTCTCTCGCCCCCCGTTGTCTCGTCCACCTGCACTGACGGGTTTAGTAGGGGATGTGATGTGACACAAATTCCTCTTGCCTTCAATAAAACGCCTGCTATCCTCAACACTAACATACTCTTAGTTAAAATGCCTATTATTAAAACAGCGACATAGTGACCAAAATCAAGCGAATCATACTTACATTGATTGGCTTCTTGATAGCTCTGGTGCCGATATAATGAGCCACGTATAATCACGGCAAGGTGAATTGTAGTTAATTTTCACGAAGTCAGACTGTATCCCTCCTCGTCTGAGACAGCTACAAACAACCGGTTACACAACTGTTACATTAACATCCGCTTGCGAAACCAACTAACGTAACTAACAAAGCTTAAAGAATGGAAACATTAAGGTTAACTTCGACCTCCGGCGGTGGCCCTTACTATGGAGGATGTGGACTGAGCAGTTGCCTATCTCCAGAAAAAAAAAGCAGCACCAAACGAACGAACAATGCAGAGCTACGTGAAGAGCCAGGTAGAACCAAACTGGGAAAAGTACCGCCATTCAAAAGCTTTACTGATCGCGGGTCTTGAAACCCAAAGCAGGAGAAAATTATGACCGTCTAGTGGCCACAGGGCGAAAGCTCTCTCCAGACCTAACTGGAAAGGCCAAATTCTCCGGGGACCGGAGAAAGTGGAGCCATATTCTCGGCCACGCCGAGCCAACAGCCTAGAACAACCTCAGCCTAGTACGCAGTAACCTCTTAAGCCATTCTAACTGATGCATGGACAGTTTTTCAGTGGGTGGACAATAAAGCGGCAACATCAAATGAATGTAAATAAAGATAGCCGCCCAAATAATTGATCATTTACGCTCCTGTCTAATATGTGTTCGCTAGCTGTTATGTTGTGTGTGTTGCATAGCAAACCACCCTCGCCACTCTGTTTGGGTGCAGAAGGCAACGAGGGCGGAGGGACTATTTTATTTTGAACATCATTATTTACTAATAAAAACTATTTAAATTAGAGTGTGTATTTTTCTTTCATTTTGCCACACTTGGTAACCGTTTTATAAAAGCAATCTCACTTCAGGCCGTGGTCATCATATCACAGTTAAGGGGTGTGGTTCGGCCCGACGCGAAGGGTAAGTAATTATGTACATCTCTCTGCAACAGCCCTACTCAGCAGTAAAAAAGCAGTAAAAAAGGATGCTTATATGAATTTGGCGTGTACAATTCCCAACTATTGCAGCTGCACTGAATCTCTATGCCACTCCCTCCCTCCCTATGATGGCACTTAACTGAAAAATGGAAACATTGATATATAATGTTGTCGTTGCATCATTTGGCTGGTGTCTAACATATTTGTGCGACAGATACACTTCTGCATCCAAACAACTATTGCATATTTGAAGAGTCTGTCATTTAGCCTTCTGTGCTATTAACCTCCACTCAAAATAGATTAACCCACGGAATAAGAGCAAGCCTCAGCTGCCAAGTGGACTATGTCAACATATGCACACACATGCACATCCATTTTGAACAAAGGCACACCACTTGCATTCTTTCAAGGATGCACCAACAAATATGCTTATTTTAATATTTTAACTTAACCTTTAAAGTTAAGTTATTTACTGTATGTTTACCTAGTAATTTGAGACATGCAAGCTGTTAAAATGTTCACCTCATGATTTGTCACAGGTAGAAAGACAAAGAAAATAAATCTTAAAGATGTTTAATGAATTCCCCCTGGCATGTACTGTAGGGGGGGTAAGTGATTATATGTGTCTACTGCCTTTTGGAGAAAGCAATGCATGATTATTCATGTTATTCAAACGTTTGATTTAATTGTATGGATACAGAGTTGCATGGTTATTATTTATAAAACATTTATTTTTATGATCTTTGGTGGCATGCTTCTCTTTTTAACACGGAAGCATTCTCTCTTTGAATCACATGTTCATATTGTGAATCAACCGACAGGAAAGTAGAGATATGTGCCAGGATAAAAACTGCAGTAATTACACATTGCCCACAGCGGTGTTGTTTT